AACGCACTGGATAGCTGGCTAATCAGAGCACACCTCGCTTTTCAGACTGATGAGCTTTGTAAAAATCGACGCGTTTCAGAAAGGCGGGGCATAGAGGAGAAACAATAATGCACAGTATGTGGAAAATAATGTGTTTTTTTTACTTTAAAACGCATAAACACATTTCATTACACCAAATACACAAAATAATGTTCTTTTTAGCAGCATCATATGACCCCTTTAACCAGTTCAAGGCGGGTTTTGGCGCATGACCTGGCACGTGCACTCATGGCACGCACAGTGTGCATACAGACCAATCACGAAGCAGCAAAGGTATAGGAAAAATATCGCAAGTTTCACGTGTAAAATGAGGATGCAAACAGCTTGCCCTTGGGTTTACGAGAGGTGATATGCAATTTGTTATTTCATGCTCTATATTTTGTTATATATTACATACAATACATTATAAATTAACAATCAGCGATTGCATTCCACAATCTGTGTGTATTATGCATGTATTTTTGCACATTTTATTTGCGGTTGCATACTTTTTTAATATTTGTTTTTGTTATTTTCGTCTTTATACCAATTACAGGTTCATATTGTCCAGAAGATGACTGAAATAAATCAAAAGTTGTACATTTCTGCATCAGATTTAGCAAATTACTTGGTGCAACAACAATATCTTTACAAAAACTTTTATGACAGCTGCCAATATTCAATACGACTATGAATAAGATAATTATATTGGATAATTTTGCTAAATAAATATATAAATTAGAACAGACACCACGTAGGAAGAAGCCACATTATTAATAGTTTAATTGCAAATTTTGGCACTTTTAGTAATGTATCCAAAACCTTGTGTTAGCAAACTATTTCTCAATGCTGTTGACACTTATTAATCATAAAAAAGTCCACGTTCATCTAAAATAATGCATTACTTATTGCTATAAAACAGGAAATACAGTCAATGTACGTCTTATTTTTGAAAGCATGTGCCACTACGTAAGTACCATCTATTAATGCATGACGTATGTAGTATCTAATATCACAAGTACAATCCTGCAGTATACCAAATGTGTCAGTTGCACACTCTATAGTGGGAATTCGGGTAAATTGGTGTGTTCCAGTTTCCCTCTATTGAGCCAATAGAGACAATTCTTACCGTTGTCATCAAGCGACAACATTATGAAGCTGCAGGCCCGGAGACCCAACTGCACACTCAGACCTGCACGCTCAGACCTGCACGTTCAGACCTATCGTTTTTTCAGACAGTGCCTCCTGCTGTTTGGATGAAAATTTGTTTTGTAGCGTGTCAGGTTAGATAATCTTCCAAACAGCAGGTGGCACTGTTTGAAAAAACGATAGTTCTGGGAGTGCTGGTCTGAGCGTGCAGTTGGGCCTCCGGGCCTGCAGATAATCTTCCAAACAGCAGGTGGCACTGTCTGAAAAAAACGATAGGTCTGAGCGTGCAGGTCTGAGCGTGCAGGTCTGAGTGTGCAGTTGGGTCTCCGGGCCTGCAGCTTCACCCTACTCTCAATCGAAGGGACAGAGAAGGGGAACTCAAGCAAGGATTTGAATATTTCCGGAATTTCTGAAGACATCTCAAAACAGTATCAGTTTCTCAACACCTGGGAAAAAGCTGGATGCAGGAGACGCTTAATCAGAGCTTCCACTTATTCAAACTGTCTCTCACATTAAGAGTAGTTTGATGCACCAAGAATTCTCAAACTTTTTATTGCGGTCACAAGGTCTGTCGTATCCACGAAGTTACTTAACTAGTCCCGCCTCAAATCGCCTTATTTCCATAGGGATGAACATTTTGACCAATGGATATCGTTTCAGTGTGCTGTTGTTTAATAGTTAATGAGGCGTGGTAGTTTATTGGTCATTCTAGCCGTGTGCATATACTTCGAGAGCCAATAAGAATGAAGACAAGTTATCTAAGTCTAAAACATCTGCGTATCAGTGTGTTATGAAATTGAGGGCAGAAATTCAGTTCAGTTGCGTTATTAGTGTCATTCACTTTCCAGCGACTGAGAGACCTTTATGTCTTGTTTTTAAAAAGTGTTAATAATTAGTAGGATTAAGATTTCGGAATAAAATATTAAATGAAAATGTAAGAAAATTAAACGCTAGCTAGGTTTGAAATATTTCAGAATATGTACTGTATTCAGGTATTAACTGACTATTGATGAATTACATTCTTCATAGGTGTGTAGTATCAGCATGTTTCCAAGCATTTATCTACCATCTTTGACCCACGACTTTCTAACCACAGAGGCAAAAATAATTTAGTTAAAAGGGCTATCTAGGTATTGTTCTCACTGTTTAATGAATACAGCCTAATTGTATAGACTATTAATTTGCTTTACTGCATTTTTTGCATACTATTTAGTAGTCTACATGCTAGTCAGGTTCTCATTCTAGAAAGCATTTGATTGGATAAAAATATATGTAGTGCAGAGTGATCAATATAACATGCACACTGTAAATTTGAAACGCATTTCTTAAAGTGCATTTTGTTATTGTTTTAGAGTATACTAGAACATAGATGGCCTCAAGGCTAACAGTTGAATCAACATGAATAAAATCAGACACATTTTCTAAAACAGTCTATTTATTGTTAAACACTTTCATGAGATTTGGTCCACTGTGATCAATATTTCACTTCCAATCAGGGAGAAAAAGGAGAAACAAACAAATGTAAAAATACAGTACAAAAAGAGGCATTGTTGTTTTTCCTTTTCATTTTTTCAAAACCCTGATTTTTACTGGTTCTCTAAGCAGGTGAAAAATAAACCCAACAGAAACATCTCAACTGATATAATCCAACATTTGCTAAATCCCACATTGTCTTTTCAGGCAGAACATGAATTATTATGAACATATTTCTGCCTTACACTTAAGTCTAGAAAGTGTGCAACTCAAAGGTAATTTTAAAATGGACAACCTTCCTTAGTTTCGAAGTCCAGAGAGCCCAGAACATTCCAGTTCTGTGATAAAATAAATTCAAATGGAGAATGAGTAAATAAATGACCGTTACTGCAGCCTCCAGAGTGTCAATGGCCAGCAGTCCTAACCCTTTGATATGAATATGAATGATTGCAAACTCCATCCCATGTTTGAACAACAGACTGTTAACTGAGCTTCTCTGCTCTCAGGTTGTGTTCTCTCTCAGCGGTTATGCACACTACCTCAGCTCTACCATCTCAGCATGATTACGTTCCTCAGAATATTTCAGATTAGAGTTATGTGCAAATCCAGAGAACATTAACGATACACTTCCCTCCCCTATTTCTTTAAACAAGTTGTCTAACGGTGTATATATCATTATACTGAAAGAATAGGATTATTTGTTAAGGTATTTATAATCGTATATAAATGTATAAGGCGCTATGCAGACAAACATAAATATCCATGTATGCTTTGTGTCCCGTCACAGTATAGCGCTGTGAGGATCGAATCAAAACAATCAAGAGCGTGGTGCAGACGAAAGTTGCTAAGGCATGATGCCTTTTTTTCACTACAACCACTCTATAAACCCTCTTAAAAGAGATCCCAGGTTTCAGAAAACTGACAGCAATTAAAACACATCACAAAAGCATGACACTCTAAATGTTAATGGTGTCACTTGCTTTTCATTGTTTAGGTTGAAAGAAAACAGACAGATAACTACCCTAGGATCTCAATTCCTCTATTCTGGACAGCTCACTAAGCATACATAGACATAATTCACTGTTAAGTATTATATTCATACATGGATACATATATTTAAAGTGTTATACATAGCAATTAACATATACATATATCAATAGCATATAGGAAGATAGAAGTAGTCATAATGGCAATCATTATCATCACTGTCATCATCATAATAATAGCAGTAGTAATAATATGATCCCTCGGTAAAGCGTACTAGGTCACTCCAGAACGTCCCTCTCAATCTCCACACAAACTGGAATCTGTTACCAGGCCAAATCTGCTCCTTCACGTGTCATTTAAACCCTGAAATTCAATGCAAAGTACAAACTTGATTCTATCATCTATAACAAACCAATCTCAGGGTGCTTCAATTACCATTCTATGGCATTTATAGGCAGTTTGGGGCAGCAAATTCTCATGTAGACCTCACAAATCGGACACTTCTGGAATGACTCATAAGGAAAAAAAACACTAACCATCTAATCAGCAATACATGTCATATAGCATAGCTCAATAACAAGAAATTCTATGTAATCAATACAAGGTAAGGTTATACTTAATTAAGCTTAACTGCTAAGTTATCAATTATCATTAGTATGCCAATATAGTAGATATATAAGTGTGTGCATGTGTGTGTTTTTGTGTATATATTTATA